AAAGAAGTCAAATGCTTGCGCAATGTATTGGTAACATCTAGTGGGAGATGGAAATGATCACGACTCGCATCAGCGTACTCGAGGGTCATCATGTAGTACAATATTCCATCAAGGCGTCTTCGCGGGAATCATCATATTACAAACAGGAATTCTATGGTATGCTCTGTGCTTTCGCGACCGGGTTCAGCACTTGCACTCGCTGGGCTTGCAGGCGCAGCTATACGTGGAATCATGGGTCAGTCAACTTCGGGCGAATTTTCAGACGAAACAACGAAATTCACCTGGCACCGCAGTTGCAAGAGTTGGAGCCGCAGTTGTTGTTCTGGGAAACAGGGGCTTGGGTGGTCTGTGAGGCGATCATCAGTCGAGAGAAAAAATGGCGGAAGAGAAGCAGAATGGCGTACAGTGAACATGAGGGGTGAGATCGAGGTGAGTTTGACTAAGAATGATTGGTTCGGGGGAACTTGTTGGTGATCTTTGTCGAAGTCGGCTGGATCTTATATACTCTCTCATGGCTGTCGCCATTGTCAGCATTATTTACGAACGATGTTCATCCACAAAATGCCTCGCTGGCTGAGTCCATGCGGTTGATGGGTCTCCAGAAAATGCCTCACTGCCGCTACGTAATTTTGCTTATGCGATCAACCAGTCCTTGACTCTCACCTTGCTTGAGTCCTTCCGAGTCCTGAATCTCGTCGTACTTCAACTTCAACTCGATTTCGTCGCCAAACTTTCAATACACATTATACTGCTTCGAGCTAGAGGAGATGATACACCGTAACTCAAAAATATCAAGAAATACTCGTAGAACTGGGTCCCTTGGAAGTTGGTTACACTCGAATCGAAAACACGGTTACACGACTTCAGCTCGGGATTTCACGGACATCAAAGTCTTTCTGAACGTTAATTAGCAGGCATTGGCTGTCTCAAGAATCAAGAGGATTCACCAATCTCTCTTAGAGGCATGGCGACTGATTTTTCCAATCGCGGCCGCTACAAACCCGGTGAGGGCGACCACGGCGGGCCATCCGAGTTGTCCGGTCATCGTGATGCTCTGGAGGATGGAGAAGAGGCCGCAAGTACTTCCACCATAGAAAGTGGATTGGAGGGTGGCGGCCAAGGTACCTGGGAGCGCGAGTTCGGCAATAGAGGTGAGTTGTAACTCGATAACCGAGTCTCAAAATGCTTACCGGCGACAGGTCCAAGTGCGCTGAACCCGACCAACTCGAGTAAACCCAGGATAGCATAGGGAAAAGCAACGGCGAGGACAACACCGAGCACGATCCAAGCAGCTGCAACGATATAAGGATGCTCTGCCTTGAACTTGCGGTACTTCTGAAGAACGTGTTGGATTTCCTTGATAAGGAGCTCCAGTTGGATCCGAAGGAACTGGTGGGTGGCTTTGAGCGTGTCGCCGAATCCATCTTTTACAGTTTCGTAGAACCGTTCGAGGTGGTACCAGACATCATCTATCGCCTGCCTGGCTACGCCCAGAAGAGAGGCACGGAGTCTTTGTATGAGAGATTTAATCACGGCCTCGGCGGCTGGAATTTGTGGGCTGCTGGGATGCATCTTTTGGTGGGAACGAGGAAGGGTGGAATGGGAGCTTAGCTTGGTTCGTACCACGGTTTTTATGGAAAATGGGGCGGCTGCGGAAGTTACTTTCTTCTGAATAGGTAACGAAAAGACCTATTATGCAAAAGAAGCCCAAGCTTATTTGACTTGGGAGACTCTGAAGACATCAAGAATGGTCATTGGGATCCCCATTCTTGTGGCTCTACCCCGAGCCGGTATCCATCTTACAAAAACAAGGTTTTTTTGTGGATCAGGGCAACTAGCGCGTCCATATCCCGATTCTCCATGTTTTCTTTGACGGTACACTGAATTCCATCGTTGAGGTATGGAATAACTGCCGAATAGCGGATCCACTGAGGGTAGGTACCCAAGCGGGAGACCTTAAAGAGTAGGCACAAGAACTTCCACGTCAATATACACCTGCGGGCTGCAGCTGGCAGCTGGCTATAAGGACTACAATCGAAATTGAAAATGCATGATGATTACAAGTTGCTATCGTTAGACATAGTTACCCCCCTCGGGCTTCGACACTCAAAATCGGAACCGTTGTGAGCCTCGTCTTTAACCTATACGTGAATTAGCGGACACAGACCATCACCAGGGTCAAGTAGACCTACCTAGCTCAAGATTTAATGAAACCTTCAAGCCGCTGACGGAGCGCCTCGATGGCAACGTCGAGCCACTGAGCATGCGGGACGCCCGCCTCTTCCAACCGCTCTTTCATGAACTTCATCCACATCTCGAACCCTCCATCGACAACATTACTGCTGTCCAAAGCCAGATCGACCGGGAACGGCTGGTCAACCACCCACTCCCCTACAAGGCGCTTGATTTCTCCTGGAGGCATGACGACTATGGTCCCTCCGACGGCAGCCGTGATGTCTGTGAATACTTCCAAGGGCCACACGAGTCTTCCGGTCATGGAGACCTTCTGAAGAATGGAGAAGAGCCCGCGTGTATGTCCACCGTAGAAGACAGATTGTATGGCGGGGGCCCAGGCGCCTGTTAGAGGCCAACCGTCGCTCAGCTTCGTTACAAGAGAGAAAACATCTATTACTTACCTGCTACGGGCCCTATTTCGCTGAATCCAAGCAGCCTGAGTAGACCCAGAAATGCGTAGGGGAGGATGATCTCCGTTCCGATGACAACGAGCGCAACTTCAGCTCCCGCGACAATGTAAGGGTGTTGAGACTTGAAACGGTGGAACTCCTCAATGGCGCGTTGGAACTCCTTGGGTAAGAGCTCGAGTTGGACTCTAATGAAGTCGTGGATCGCTTTGTAAACGTCCTCAAATGTGGCCTTGCCGTCTTTCACCAGACGCTCGAGGTCGCGACGGGCATTGTCGAGGAATGGCTTGATACGCTCGTAGACTTCATCCCAGTTTGGGATCCTGGGAAGTGTCGATGACGCGTCGATTCTAGGCTGGAGGTCGCGAGCAGCGAAGCTTTCTTGGATACCATCAACCCCGGTGACGATGTCCTGAACGGCTAGTTTGGCTTCATCTGTGTAAGGGAAGTTGAGGATGGTAGTGAACGCGACTGATTCCTGTTGTACTGGAAAGGGATAAGTTTGTTACGGCATGAAAGGTTTTAGCACAAAAAAGACTCACACTTCCGTGCTTCATCTGCATAGGACGAACCAGTCAGTACCCGTTTCACGTCCGAGGTTGAACAAGAGATACATACTATTGACCATTTGCAGATCGTACACGAAGTCTGTCCAGGGCCAAGCACTGACATTGGATAGTACTGTCGTGAAGTTTCCGAGTCGGTAGCTCATCGCCTGCTGAACCTCTGGATTCGATTTGAGACCGGTGTTGATCGCGTATACGGTCTTGTTGATGTCGGTAACGTTGTTGATCGTGAACTCGTACTGCATCGATTCACTCCATCGGTCGACGTCGCCATTGAAATGCGGAGGATCGTGATGACTAGGGCTGTCGTGTGAAGGAAAACCGAAAAAGTGACGCAGTTTGTCTAGCAGGGCCAGGAAGAACCACAAGAAAAAGTCAAAATGGAACACTTGCATTTGAGTGTGGTGGGGGGAGGGAACAAAAGAATGGGGGCGTCAAACACACGCTAGCGTGTTTTATGCTTTATGCGCAAGATGCTTCTTGCCTTCTTACTCGCTTCCTACCTGGTAAGGCAAGTAGTCAACCAACGAGGCCAATTAGCTGTTGATCAAATTCGAGGTGGCATAACCTTATTTTTTTTAAAAGCATCGTGATGGCCGCCGCAGGGTATGCTATCACAAGAGCAACATAGTGTTGAGCGCCACTGCTGTGTTCTTGACCTGGGTATGTTGAATGTGTATCGATACCCACAGCGGGAGGGAAAGATCGGTACCGACTTGCGAGTCGTGGTTGAAAGATAAGCGGCATGAGCGCCAAAGAAAGGGTTCATAGGCGCTTGTGGGCGCTTTCTTCCAACTTTGGCAAGTGGGGGCGTTCACCGGGGAATGCCGAGTGAATGACCTCCCCTTGGGGTGTGCTCAAGAATTTCCCTATTTGGGCGGTGACGAGGTGTGACCCAACGGCTCGTCGTGGCCTTATCGCCTTCAAAAGAGGACTTGAGGTATGATAAAGGATTGTATTTCCACACATAGGTACTAGAGTCGTGTTTGAAGCAGCAACCCGAAACGAGATAATCATAAGATCAAAGAGACAAGACTTCGATAGCGAGAGGGTGTGACAAACCTGTCCACCCAAATAAGGAAATTCTTGAGCATACCCCAAGGGGAGGTCATTCACTCGGCATTCCCCGGTGGACGCCCCTTGGCAAGTGGTCGCTTTGACAGTTACCGCCGAGCGACGAGCGGCGTCCTGGAGCCTCGATCTAGCTGCGATTCCTTGTATAAATCGTCCTCGTTGGTGATAAGGTGCTCGGATTTCCGCCAAGGGCCAGATATCAACAGCATGTAGGAGACAGCTTTTGTCTGGACTCAGATAACGGGCTTCAAAGCAGTTCAATCTTGATTCCGATGTCAAGGCCTGATGATCATCGAACCTCGAATCTTGAGTTCAGGGTGTGAGCCCCATAGGGAACACCTTGGTCGGTGGCTTCGATTTCTCCGGCACGGTGCATAACTCAAGCCGCATTAGCACAATGGTAGTGCGTCGCTTTCCTATGGATGTTGAAAGTTCCAAGAGTTGCATTTGGAGGCGAAGGTTGCGGGTTCGAGTCCCGTGTGTGGTTTTTTGGATGGGAAAATGGCAAGTGAATGAACGAACGTTGGCACTTTGACTACTTATTTTTAACTCTCAGCGACGGACATGTGGTTATTGCCCTGTTTCGTTACATATGTACATGGTATTACAATCGGAGCGTCGTACACTTACAAAACCATCGGGGCCATAATTCTCCATCCAACGGGGGAAAAGTAATGCCACTCAGTGTGAACCACACACGGGACTCGAACCCGCAACCTTCGCCTCCCAATTCCAATTACATCATAGGAAAGCGACGCACTACCATTGTGCTAATGCGGCATTTCCAGAATGCAGGCGGGGTAGCCTACGAGGGCATCACATTCTACCAAGCCGGAAACGATAAAGGTTTTCACAGCATGGGCCTCTCACTATTCAAGTCAAAGAGAAAAACCTAACTATCATTAATTCTTCTTTCGATCTCTAAAAGGCTAGGTAGAACGTAGCAGTAGAAAAAGACTCGTTATTTCGGGGGTACGTCTTCATGTCTAAGTATCGTATAGTGGTGTGTCTTATATGTACAAAGTAATTTTTTTCTCCCTACCCAGGAGTACAGAAGCCAGAAGCAAGCAAAGCGTGAAGAAGGGAAAAAGAAAAAAACCGTAGCGGAGGGTGAACGAGGGGGAGGAGAGGGGGAAGGGGATGAACAGAGAACAGAGGGGGGATAAGGGCAGTCGAGGTTCCTTCCTTCCTTCCAAACGGGCCAAAGTCCAGTCCAGTCCTTTTGCAATCCCCGTAACCTGTACCGACTCGACGCTTTAAGCCATCTTACCCAACACCCTAGGCTGAGAAACATCGGCCATGTTGATGAATATATCATCGGCCGGGTGACGGTAGAGAGGTGCACGGAGACGTTTCTGGTCAAGGTGGTGACCGATGAAACCGATGGAACGACCGAGGACAAAGAGGCCGTTGAGGGTGCCGATCTAGGGAGGGAAAGAAATCGAGAATGAGCAAAAGAGAACAAGACATGGGAACACGTTTGCTACCCACCTTGATGTACTCATCGGCTTCCTCGGGGGTGAAAGCACCAGAGTCACGGAGGAGATCGACGAAGCAGACGGCGATGCATCCGTCGACGTTCAGGATGAGCTATCGATGAACGTCGGTGAGTTATGGAACTGAAGCCGAGGCTTGAAAGACTCACGGTATCCTTCTTGCTCGTCGTCACCTTCTCGACTGCGAGCGCGTAGTCGAGCAACGAGTGGCTCGGGAAGTTCTTCCTGACGTACTCCTTGACGAGCTCGACACGCAAATCGGGGTTGTTCACCGACTTGATCTTGTGGCCGATACCAGAGACTAGGGGAGGCAGGATGTCAGTAAATCTTCAAATAAACAAAGGGAAGAAAGAAACGACATACTAAGCTTGTTAGCCTTCCTCGCTCCATCAACAAACTCCCTCGGCGTCAGCCCCATATCCCTCGCCTCCCCAAACATACTCGCAGCCTCATCCAACGCACCACCAAACCGACTTCCAATCGTCAAAAGACCCGAAGCCAAACTCGAAATCAAATCCTTCCCAGCCCTAGTAGCCACAATCGTGTTCATCGCTCCAGATACAGCAGGTCCATGGTCAGCAGTAAGCATCAGAACCATCTCAACAAACTTGGTCGCCCACTCCGGCAAACGACGTTTGAACCACAGAAGCGAGACGACACCTCCGATACCGAGGTTGTCCCGGAACACGGAAGAGATGGGCATTCCAGCGTAGAGCAACTCTTGACCACGCTCGTCGGAGATGGTAGAGATGAACGCAGCTGGCTTTCGGATGAGTCCGAGCTCCTGCGCCCACTTGTAGTCCATAGGAATAGCAGGTGGGTCTCGCTCCTTCTGTTCGGTGATGGTCCCGTTCTGAACGAGAGAACCATAAACCTCCTTGAGAACGACGGGGAGATCTTCGAACGTATCGGGGACGAGGAACCCAGCTTCCTTCATCGCGCGGTTCTTGGCATCCGCAGTCTCCATATCTGAGTTGGCGAGGGACCCAGCATGACCGAATTGAACTTCGGTGCTGAACATCTTTGCGCACGTTCCGATGGCCCAAGCGACGATAGGTTTGGTGATCTTGCCCGATTTGACGGCTTCGATGACTCGGTATTCTTCTACACCACCGACTTCACCGAGGAGAACGAGAAGCTTACAGTTGGGGTCGGCTTCGTACCTCAACAAGTGATCGATGAACGTCGACGAGGGGTATCGGTCACCACCGATGGCGATACCTTCGTAGGTACCGTTCGTCACCAACGAGAGGATGTTGTTCAACTCGTTCGACATTCCTCCCGATTTCGAAACGTATCCGACCGAACCAGCACGGTAGAGTTTGGAAGCGATGATGTTGTCCATCATACCACCCGAATTTCCAATCTTGAAACATCCGGCTTTGATACCACCGACGGTGGCAGGACCGACGATGAGGACTTGACGTTCGTGAGCTTCCCAGAGGATCTCCCTTGCGTGTCTTTCGGGGACACCTTCAGCGATGATGGCGATACACCTGATAGCATCGGAGTGACCCTTGAGAATCTCCATCGTAGATCCCAACACAGATCGGGAAGAAGCAAAGTTGACGACGACGTCGACGTCTGGGTGCTTCGCGACGGCATCTTTGACTGAGGTGTACACGGGGAGCAATGTCTCCTTAGTTCCCCAGTAGAACTTCTGGATGTGGTGTCCACCGAAGGGGTAGATCATGGCAGCGACAGAGGGAGTCTCACGACCACACGAATAATCGAAGTCGAGCATGCCTTGGATAGCACGGGGTTGGAGACCGTAGACGAAGGAACGGGTGGTGTTGTCGAAGGGGAGGTACCAGGGGCGCTTGTTTCCTTGGGATTTCGTGGTGTCAAAGTGGACGATCTGGTCGCCGGGCTGGGTGCGAGAGCCATCGGATTGGATGGCACCAACGGGTGCTTCAGTGGTGGGGATGGCTTCTTTGGGTTCGCGGGGGGTACCGGGGGCGGAGGGCTGGACGCTCTGGGGGATTTGAATGCCGGAGGACTTCTTGGGCTCTACGCCCAATGCCAGAGGGACAATCGCGGTGATGTGTGTCTCGGGTCCAAAGACGCGAATGGGGACACCCAGGCTCTCACCGAGGAGACGCATGGCTTTGAGACCTTCCTGGTAGTTGGGACCACCACGACGGACAAAGATCTTGACACCAGAAGTGATGAGTTGTTGCTTGAATTCTTTGAGGGCACGGATGATACCCTTAAAGGTGGCTGCGACGTTGGTGAAGTTGGCAATACCACCTCCAATGATGAGAACTTTGCCCTTGGGGTTGGGGGTGCCACGGGTGACAAGGTCAAGGATGGTCTTGGCATATTCATAGGTCTGTCCTTCGGTAGGAGCACCAGAGTATTCACCATAGTTGGCGAGTTCGTCGGCGAAGCCTAAGAGAAGTGTTAGCATACAGCAAGTGTCAGAAGGAGTGTTACGCACCACACGCGGCAATGGCATCAGAGTAGACGACGGAGGCACCACCACCAGCAACCATGGTCCAGACGCGACCCTCTGGGTTGAGCACGGTAAGCTTGAGGGAAGCACCAGTGCTCGCGTCCAACTTCTGGATGAAAGCTTCTTCCTTCGTCAAGGAACGACCGAAAGGTGCAGGGAAGACCATGGGGGGACCACGATCGGTGGTGACTTTGCCACCCTTGGAAGTGGTAGCAGCGCTGGTGTCGGAAGCGGAAGACTCGTAGACCGACAAGTCACGGGCGATAGCCCACTTTTGACCAACGATGCTCTCGGCGGTCTGGTCGAGTTTGGCAGCCATGTCGAGGTAGTGGATCTCAACCTTGCCAGATTTGCTGTCGCCGGAACCCAAGCATATAAGAGGGTTAATTTCGAGGTAGGCAAAGTGGAGGTCGACATAGACAGAGTAGAGACGAACGAGGAAGTCGACGAGGGCGTCCTTCTTTTCTTCAGAGTCTACGTGGGTGAGGAGGGTGTCTTTGATCGTTTGTTTGGAAGGGAATGTCTGAGTTTTGGAGGATGTTGTGACGGAAATGTTGAGTTTGAGGGCTTTAGCATCGACATCACCGACGTCGACACCGCCTTCGTGGGTGAAGAGAATGGTGTCGAATTCACGTGATGAGTTGATGCAGACGTAGTACTCTGTGTTGCTTGGATGGGGGAGGAAAGGTTCGAGGATGAAGGAGGTGAGAGGTCCAGAGACGGATTCGACCTTGAATTGAGAGAAGAGTAAGCACGTGTAAGACGCGAGGACAAGGCGCGATCGATCATCGATGGACGCGTGCTTGTGTCAAACACTCACCTTTTGAATCTTTCCAGCACGCTCAGCAATCCACTGGTATGCCTCATCCTTGCTCTTGTTGAGAGCGAGCAGGCCAGCCTTTCCACGTCGCTTGATGAGCTGGTCAGGCTTTGCTACGAATTTGAGGCCTTGCTCTGTGACCCATCGGGGCAGAGCATCTGCAGGGTTGAGGGACTTGCTCTCCTCGTCCCAGAGAACCTGAGCAACTCGCGGATAAGCAGGCGTCGCAGACGGCGCGAGCTGAAGGGATGAGTTGATCAACGGCGAGCGAGTGAGCCAGTAGCTGAGCAATAACTTGGCATCGTACTCGCGAATCGCTGCAACGAGGGATCATTGATCGGCGGCTGGTCAACGTGAAGGACGATCAGCTCACCTTTGGAGGACATGGTTGAAGGAGAGAAAAAAAAAGACCAGTGAGTCCAGAGTGGAATGGCTCGATAAAAGTACCCCCCAATATTCCCACGACCCATTACGCGTCCTCCATCGATCTCCATCTACTCGTCTTTACCTACTTTCACCCTTTCACCATTTGCGGCCGCTCTACAATGCCTCACAAAGTCTGCCTGATTGTCCACGACGGCTGGGGAATCTCCCCGACTCCAGGCGGACGCGGTGATGCCATCCATGCCGCAACAACCACCCACATGGACACACTCGCCAAAGACCACTCTTCCCGTCAACTGGCAGCACATGGAACTGCAGTCGGTCTCTCTGATGGGCTCATGGGCAACTCGGAAGTCGGCCATCTCAATATCGGCGCGGGTAGAATCGTTTGGCAAGACATCGTCCGTATCGACGTATCCATCAAGAAAAAAGAGTTCCACCAAAACAAGATCATCCTCGAGGCTATCGAAAACGCGAAGAAGAATGGTGGACGGTTACATCTCCTTGGATTGGTCTCCGATGGGGGAGTTCACTCTCACATCACTCATCTCTTCGCTCTGCTCGAAACGGCAAAGGAACAGGGCGTTCCCGAGGTCTACATCCATTTCTTTGGTGACGGCCGCGA